ATGTGAGGATTTGGGGATGTGGGGAATTGAGGATGTGGACATGTGGGGAAGTGGGATGATGGAAATGTGAGGATGTGGGAAAGTGGGAATGTGGAGATGTGGGGATGTGGACATGTAGAGATGTAGGGATGTGAACATGTGAGGATATGTACTTGTGGAGATGTGGACATATGAATACATAGGGATGTTAGGATTTTAAGATATGAAGATTTGCTCATATAGAGATTTGAACATACAAAGCTTTGCAATCTAACAACTTGAACTTCAAGATCTAGCAATCTACATTCATATCTAAACTTGATGATCCAGAGATTCAGAAATTCAGCCATATAAAACTTAAGAAATATCAAATTTGCAATTAAGAACTTGAAGCTTAACACTGAAGTAATATGACAATTAAAAATCAATGCATTCTCAGAGTCAGTTAAAATAATTGATATAATTACTCCAACTGTGTATGCATTTTATGGAGAGACTCCGTAGAACCCCATCATGTCATGCCGCTTAATTAATCTGGGATGTGAGGATTTGGGGATGTGAGGATTTGGGGATATGAGGATTTGGGGATGTGAGGATTTGGAGATGTGGGGAATTGGGAATGTGAGGATTTGGAGATGTGAGAATTTGGAGATGTGAGGATTTGGGGATGTGGGGAATTGGGGATGTGGGGATTTGGAGATGTGAGGATTTAGGGATGTGAGGATTTGGGAATATGAGAATTTGAGGATGTGAAGATTTGGGGACGTGAGGATATGGGGATATGAGAATTTTGAGATGTGAGGATTTGGGGATGTGGGGAATTGAGGATGTGGACATGTGGGGAAGTGGGATGATGGAAATGTGAGGATGTGGGAAAGTGGGAATGTGGAGATGTGGGGATGTGGACATGTAGAGATGTAGGGATGTGAACATGTGAGGATATGTACTTGTGGAGATGTGGACATATGAATACATAGGGATGTTAGGATTTTAAGATATGAAGATTTGCTCATATAGAGATTTGAACATACAAAGCTTTGCAATCTAACAACTTGAACTTCAAGATCTAGCAATCTACATTCATATCTAAACTTGATGATCCAGAGATTCAGAAATTCAGCCATATAAAACTTAAGAAATATCAAATTTGCAATTAAGAACTTGAAGCTTAACACTGAAGTAATATGACAATTAAAAATCAATGCATTCTCAGAGTCAGTTAAAATAATTGATATAATTACTCCAACTGTGTATGCATTTTATGGAGAGACTCCGTAGAACCCCATCATGTCATGCCGCTTAATTAATCTTTCATTCATCCGTGCCTTTCGAGCGCTCTAGTCCCTTCCTGCGACTAGGATCGTTGTTTTTCCTTACGTTGATCAACAAGTTTACTGACTGTTTGGACATTTCAATGTAATGAATTATGCTGCAAACTCAACCCTGCATTCAAAGTACGAGCTAGTAGTTAGAGTGTATCTTTGAGTAGACTCTGTTTCGTTGCTTTGATAGATCGTGTATTTTGTATTAAATTTAGAAAACAAAACATGTACACCGGTTTGTTTTCGTGCACGTTGTATGCATACAGTTCTTTCTGATGATCTGCTCAGCTCGATTTATTTGGATGAAACGAAAGTGCATATTTGGACTCAGATCTTTTTCTGTTCAGCATTTCTACTCGCAATAACGTTGCAATTACAATTTTAAAAGGAGGTTTCCGTTTAGGAATTAAGAGAAACTTAATGCGATTAGATTTTTGGTATTTTATCTCTAAAACTTATACAATAAATATTGAATTGTAGATTAGTAGGAGAGCAATTCTTGAGATTTCTAGACCAAAACCTCTTCTTAAGATTCGTGTTGTTTTTTAGTCCCTAAAAATAAATTTTGGTAGATATCGCGTAGATCCGAATCGAAAATATCGAGTTTCCATGGCTCTAATATGCTGGTCCCTCGAGTTATGCTCGGTTGCTGCTTGATATTTTCCTCCGCCAGGGGCTTCTAGAGCAGCTTCTATTTTACAAAGTTCCAGTGTCAGAAATTTCCAAAGTTTTAAGTTCCTAAAATTCCAAACTCCTGTTCTCTTAAAGTCCCAACTTATCAAAGTTCCCATTAGTCCCACTAACACCAACGTCAACTCATATTAATTTCAAAGTCCCATTATTACCCCCAAAATAATATTATTTCCATCAGTCCCAAAGTCCTATTACTCTCATAGATCTACTAGCCCCAAAGATTCAAAATCTCGAAGTTTTGCCAATCGAATAATCCCAAGCTCCTACAAATCGAAATTTCCAAAGGACCGACGCTCTCCTTATATCGCCATATCCCAACCTCGTATGCAGAGTACCGTACAGACACTTATCGCGTAAATCGAGGGGCCAGCGTACACATATACATATACTTATCAATTTTTGAGATACGATTTAGACAACGTTCTCGAAACAGATAAACAGGAAATTACTCGCAATATATTTTACATAGGATAACTAAAGCGTGTACTTAAAACATATGAATTGTTGGAAACTGATAAGCAGGACATTGTACGCTCAACCAAATGTTCAACGAAACGACTTGAGAGACAAATATTTATACATGTCGAACAGCTAGCGATACACTTACATACACCAATGTGATTTGAAGTTAACCAAAAGTTGATTCTATGAAACACTGCCTGTAAAACTATACCGTATTAACGTTTAATTAATACTATCGGCCATAAGGATGAAATAAAAGCGTTAGAGAAAAGAAACAAGTACATACATAAATTTCGAATTATCAGGGACGATGTAATCTTGATCAGCTCGTACTTAGTAGTAATAAAAATACAACACGATTCGACGTCCATTCTTATACATATGAGATAAAATTTTTTCCTTGTAATCGAATAAAACTCATTGAAATCCGATTCGATTGTTTATTGAATTATTTTGTATTATTGGAATCCTGGAAGTTGGTCCATGCGTTGTGTGTTGTATGTACTTTGTTTAAGAGCGATTCGGACTAACTTCGAGGATGTGATAAGATATGTCAGTAAATGATAAGAGTGGGGGACGTCTTATATTGCTGTTCGCGGTTTAATAGGGTAATTATGTTTATGGAAGTCATTCCTGCATTTAATGATTGCTGTGGATACTTTGAGGCTTAGTGTTCTTAGTTTAGTTGGTTAATTTAGAATCAATAGATCTTACATTATATATTTCAATCTTCCATAAGACTAACTTATAGTAGTATAATATAACCTAACATATCCTGATCCTAACATTAACCTAACTCTTATATGACGCTAATGTAACTCTAATACTAGCTCTACCTCTAATGTACCTCTAAACCTAACTTTAACTAAAATATTATCTAACTTAACATAACTAGTATAACATAACCTAACATATCCTGATCCTAGCATTAACCTAACTCTTATATGACACTAATGTAACTCTAATACTAGCACTACCTCTAACCTACCTCTAAACCTAACTCTAACTTAAACATAACCTAACCTAACATAACCTAAATCTTCCATAACTAACTCTAACCAAAGCTGACCAAACCCAACCTTACTCAAGATATTCAAAGCAATCAAAGCTACACAATACTGAATTGTAGGAATGATATTTTTTATACATAATTATCGCTATAATTATAACACTTTAAGATATTTAAGTAAAGCAGTCAACTTTCAGGATACTAATTACATGAACAGCAAATTACGTTTCTTTTTGTCAAGACATATACAGGACAGCAGGATCAAGGGGTTTCAGTATAGTCGAGGTAAAAGTCATAGTGGCATAAACTTTGTTAAATACATAAATAATTAAAAATTTCTAAATTTGAATGATTTAAACAATTTTTTAATTGATTCAATATATCTGGTTTTTTAGTGTAAGCATTAGATATGTTACTATGACTTGCACTACCTCAATTATTTAATTGATTCGCGTAAGTAACGAAAAGCAATTGTGACGTCCGTCCATGCACAATCTTTTTTATTTCTTTTTCGATACGATGCGTTTCACTGTCACTTAATATACATATCTCGATGAACACATTTTATCACACCTTGTGTACCGATAGATTCACGAATAGTGCTATTATTAAAATTAGTTTAGGTTGTACATAAAATGGCCGATTTGAACATTTATTTCGTTAAAATTATTTTGTATTTAAAAAATTCTCTCGGGAAACACATTGCTATTAAATGTAGCTACTCCACAGAAAGTTTACTCTACTCGAAAGTTTCATACGGTAATTTTCATGGAAATTTTGGTGTAGCTTAAATGCTAATTAAAAATGCTTTTACGTTAACAAATTATATCAGCCCTTTATATTCTACAAAAGAATTTCACTTTAATTCAATATGCAACGTAACTGAAATATAAAAATTAATGAAACCTTTGTGTAATCATTTTGTATTAAATATTAAAATTTCACATTTCGAAATCGGCCATTTGATATATATTACAATAAGCAATTTACCAAAATAAGAAAATTGAAATCTACGAAAAAATCGTGCATATTTATCAATCAACTTACACGCTACAGAAAGTTTTTCACTAATATAACAATGACACATTTTCCTTTTTACCCTTGAATGTGAGAATTTCTCTCTTTGTGGCCCTGCGTTTCATACTCTCTCATTAATCCTCGAAAGATGGATAATAACGTTGCAGTTGTGGGTCGCAATGACCCTGCACTCATCATGCGAGGGTTAAGCCTTTGAAGCACCGCATTTCATTCAAATATTTCTTGTTATTTTGCAAATATGAATGTTAGAAATTTTTCTTCGTGCTTCAAGGGATTAATGTTCACTCGCTCGAGAAGCGTTCGAATTATTTCGTATCGATCAACTTTTTAATTCTGAAATATTCAATTTATTGAATGTACCCATTGTTCTCACAATAGAATTCATTGTAAAGCGAATTCAAACGACGAAAGAACGAAATGGTTCGATCGATTCCGACCAAAACCGAGCCGTGTGTTACGATAAAGTAAAATAGGAAATTGTGTGTGTGACATTGTAGGATGAAGAGAAAAAAGACAGCAGAAAATTCGAGAAAAATGATGAAATACCTAGCGAATTCGAGTGTTGCTTTTGTACTACGAAGGTATTTACGATCATTAACGTTCTCTCTTAGACGGCACTACATACACCAATGGGCTGTCGAGAAAAAGAAAAAAAAATCTTTGGGATTAAGGGAGACGCTCTCTCCTTTATTTTCGTTTCTTTTTTTTTTTAATTATTCGTTTTGTTATAAATTCTTGTCTCTTTCTCTGGCTTCGCTTTGTTTTCCAGCGTACGACGGAAAAGCAAAAAAGAAAAATAAATCGCGTACTTTCTCTTTGTCCGTTGGCTTTTACGTACGTTGTTTGTCCGCCATTTTGGTTTCGTTCTGTAGAACGATGCACGGTTATTTCCATGTATAGTCCACTGGGTGTATGCACTGCCTTTAACCCCTTCACACAGAGCATCAGTTTATCTTCATTGACACGACACCAGTTTCATTCAACGCTTTAGACGCAACAATCCTTTAGCTCGTCCACACTAATTTCTCATTTGCGTGCAAACGAATGACTTTTGTAGGTCAAGGCACGGGCATCGTGCCACTAAGAAGACGAAACAACGCGATGCCCTTGCCTCGTGATTACACTGAAACTATCTCTCATTTGATCTTTACATATAGCATTCTTGTTAGTTTGCCTCGCGAGAAAGTCTATCCAGTTCAATAGCATGCCAACTGTTTAAACGTTCGCGCGTGAACTCCACGGGGTTTCTTTGCCACAGGTAACTTTAGAAATACAGCTTGTGAATCTTGGTTTTTATTTCGGTCTTGGTCAGTGCTTGTATACGTATGCACATCTGGTACAATATACACGGTGTTTCGGAACAACTTTTGCAGCATGTTTCAACTTTCGAAGTTAGCGCTTCTTGTGGAATTTTTTCATTGGGAGTCTGCGCATGCGCACACGACGTTGCAGCTACTGTACGTCGTTTACGCATGCGCGGACTCCTATTGACAGAGACGCGCGACATCGCATCACCTTTCGAAATTGACAAAATCGTTGGGGTATATTATATAGGGATACTATCGATTGTCGATATGATATCAATACTTTATTGATACTTAAGGCCCTGGTTAAGCAAAATACCTGCCTAGAGACTGAAATAAAGTATTCGCTAAATATTACTCATTCTTGTTTCCATAAGGAAGGCCTCGATTTTTAATTGAATACTTAAGAATCGAAAAACCTTGAATGCCCTGTGCATATCTTTTCGTGCAAACCTTACATTACTTACATTACTTTGGGCTCAAAATGGTGTTGATTTATTTACGTTCTTTTCTTTTACTTTATTACGTTCCTAGTTCGAAATATAATCATATCATCTTGAGTGCAAACATGCTAGAAAAGTTGTTTGTTAATTCCTGGGACACCCTGTATAAATATACCACGAGTAATTTTTGCAAATATATCTATTATTTAATAATTCATTATGGAACCTGAATTTTTATTATTATAGCTCTTCAATATATTCTTGTTTTGTTTAAAAACTGGGTACACTTACCGTTGGGCATATTATAATCATTAGGTATCTGCGAATGAATTTTTGTTTTTCTTTTTTTAATTAACAGATTGACTAACGTAATAGAAACAGATTTGTCTAGTGCATCACATTTTAATACGTTGAATGTCCTGCAGGTCACTTGTTACCATTAAATGAAAGTTTAATAAAATAGACATGATATTCATTATGTTAATAAAAATTGTATAATTGATATTATATTATCTGACCCTTAAGACAGTCAACGTATTAAGATCTATTTTGTTCGATCAATATCGATAGAATATAAATTATTGTAACGTATGTAAATTATTCTCACGTGCCTACATCCATATACCGAAATCGATATACACAGTCTGACAGATAATTTCCTGCTTTCTAGTATAAAACGAACGGCAAGTTTGCACGCTAGATTCATGCATGAATTATACACCGATAATCGTTTCGGGGTACAGTGTTGAAAGTAAGAGTGTACTAGTGTTGAAGTAATTTGCCTGCAAGCTGTTACCGATTTAGACAAATGTCTCGACAAATAATACTGTTCTAGAGTAGAGCACATTCATTTCGTGAAACTTTAGTAGCCTATAAATTATTCCATAAACAATATGTAACAACGTTAAGGCTTATATAAGGCTTAAGTTGAGCCTTATAAATAGAACTGGAATTACTGTTTTACTTGTTGATTCTGTTTATTTCGGTTATGTTTCTATAGTTTTTAACATTCTAAATTACTCAAGTTTACAATCTTTGAATTTCTATTTTTTTTATTTTTTTATTTTTTAATTTTTCGAGCTCCTAAATTTTGTTATTGGCAAATTCCAAATTCATAGCCACACATCTTCACATACTCACGTCTCCATTTCCCTACATCCCCGTTTCCCCACATTCTCATTTCCGCACATCCCCACTTCCACGCATCCCCAAATCCAGACATCCCCAAATCCACACATCCCCAAATCCACACATCCCCAAATCCACACATTCCCAAATCCACACATCTCCAAATCCACACATCCCCAAATTCACACATCCCCAACTCCTCACATTCCAAAATCCACACATTCCCAAATCCACACATCCCCAAATCCACACATCTCCAAATCCACACATCCCCAAATCCTCACATCCCCAAATTCTCACATCCCCGAATCTCTACATCCCCCAAAACCCTACACTCCCAAATCCCTACATCCCCAAATTCCTACACCCCCAATCCCCACATCCCCATATCTAAACCCCAAAATTTGAAAACCTTGCACATAAAATTATTAAATAAAATTTCGTGAAATAAGATTTATAAAAGTACCTCCTGTAGAAAGCAGGAAATTATTTCGCAACATTATTTAATACGATAACACGGTGTTTAAAGAGAACAACGTTAGTGTAATTACTGATCTTTTTCACTGGCTCGTTGGCTGCATATTTATAGCAAGAGACACGCACACGATATAAACATTCATTCATTTCAATCATCGTACGTGGCATGATCGGATAACAGGTACATGCGATTTGATCGATCAGTGAATGCTACGTAGGGTCATGTTTCTAAATAACACATTGCACTTAACAACTTATCAACCATGCTAATCTTGCCACGAATGTACAACAATTCCCTTCCTTGTTGTCGAAAGAGTAACTTTCATTAAATAATGAAGTTGCGACTGTAATGATCGTGATTCGATGAACGAAATCGTATCTGATTCTTGTAATTTCAAATCGACGACTGACTTTCAAGAAGATTGTTGTTGCGCGAGCGAGTGGCCAAATGGCAGTTCTCGAATTTTTCTGACAGTAATTTAACGATATCTCAATTTTTTCTACGCATATGTTTGATACACGGAAATTTTGAAACACGGAATGTATGCTTTATATCAACGATCTATACAAGGTTTTTTAAACACAGATCTAAGACTCTACAGAAGAAGATTCTATTGAAAGAAGAAAATAAAATCTATCTATAAGGAATTTAAAATTTTATACAATCGATACTTTGTGAAATTAAATCAATTAAACTTTTACTTTTAATGCACTGAAGTCTTAGATCCTATTTATCCTATGTATATCGGATCGTTCGAGTCTGTTACACGATACTCTCCAAACAAATTCTACTCTTCATATCGTGTAATGGATGTTGCAAGTACAACGCTTCTTTCACGTTACATCTTCTCAGCATGTTTTTAGAAACAGAGAATCAGCAACAAGCACGATAACAGCATACAGATTTTGCAATAATTATTGTATGCACATATTGCAACTTTGCATCTGGTAGGTCAGTTCTGGCAAGCTTGGGAACAACTAATCACTAGTAACCGTTGTTTTCCTTAAGTTTCGCACCTTATTACAGGCCTACATATTACATATATGTATGTGTAATCGTCTTCCTCTAATCTACTTAATGACCGTGCAAATACTGTTCTGGACCATATCAGGCGAGTATAACAATAATACGGACAGGTATTAGAAGTAGACAGGTCATATTGAATAGATTTCTTAGAGAGCACATAGAATGAACCCCATTTTTATTCTTAGAGTTTAGTACACGATGATACCATTTTATTTTTCATTAACGAGTACAGCTTTCGTCTTCTAATTATAACGCGTTCCTTTCTTTTAGCTAACGAAATATGATTTTAGCTAATGACATATATTAATCATATGAAAAATTGCAAATTAAACACAAAAATGTGATAGTACATTATATGTGTAAAGTTAATCGTGTGATAAATTAAACACGAAAAAGTACCAAAAAATTGTGTGAAATTTGACGAAAGATGTGCGATTGCCGAAAATCCTAAAGATCGGATCAATGTTGAAGACAACGCTTCGAGCAGCGTATCTTCAACGGACCGAGGCTCTTCATCTTGATCGTGTTTCTAGGAATACAAAGACTTCAGAGACGCGGAAAATATAATGCCACTGGCGACCAGCGACTTTCGTAATCCCATCTGCCAGGAGATGAAGTCGATGAAATCCGGGATGTCTGCGGAGCCGCCTGTGCAGACCATTTTCAGCGAGACCAAGGTGTCTCCTCCTCAAGCGGTGGATGCCTCCAACTATGGGAAAATATACAACGAGCAGGGAAGCGTAGACAGCTCTGATACGTATGCCAGCTGTCAGACACATCCGTCTCATTCGCAGGTATCATTTTGAATCAGTAACCGATGAGTTTGATAAAATGCTGCTACATGGGTAACGAAAGGAACATTCATTCATATTCGTTTCTTAGTTCAGCAAATTTAATACATGTAGGAAGAGAACTAGGAACATTTGTAGAGTATATTTGTGGTACATTTGCGTCAGAAAGATACTTTATGTGTGCTTTAGAATGAATAATTTCGAGTTTGAGTTACATTGGTGTAAGCTGTAGAGTTAGTATGTAGTGCTGGGAGAAGACATGATATCGCTTTACCGCAGTATTCTAAATATTCTACCAAATGGCTTTAGTACCGTGTTACTAGGACCGTACAACTTTAATTTAGACCTTATTCTATTAATATTAGCCCGGATTGAAGAACCAAGCTTACATGTGAGTTACTAATATTATTAATTTAAAAATTTCACAGTATTCAAAATTCCTTTTATTTTATTTTTAATCGTTTAAATTGTACCAATGACTTGTTACGACACTAAATGGGATGAATAGTATTTTAATGTAGTTACGTTATCTCACAGGGTGATTTAACGGAGGAGGTGGACAGCAATCTATACGTAAACCCTCTGGAAGCTGCCGAGAAGTGTGGAAATAGCAGGGTAAAGAAATCCGCTTCAGGTGATGTCGGGCGTAACGCCGCTGACGCTTCGCCAAGCGTTGAATCTTTAAAAGATGTTCGCCCTTCGAACGACGGTAGCAAGGTTACCTTGAATGACACAGTACCCAAGCACAGGAAAATTCGTATTCAACAGGTATATTTCTCTTCATTTTCTCTTTGGTCATCTGCACGCGTATCTGTGAAGCATTCAATTCAGTTCGGACGCTTGGCATCCGTCGTAATCTTTGCGATGTGTTTGATTCAGTTAAAATTACTGATACAGGTGTTCGAAAATTCACAAGCATTATTCTACCGAAGGTCACAAAGTTGACAAGCCACTTTTCTTGAGAAATATCGTTTCATAATTGTATATGCATGACAAATGCACCCTTCGATAACGAGGAGTAAAACGGTAAACTGTCGCTTGTTTAACTTCAGTTTTATTTTATTTTGTCCCAGTTGACGGATTAAAGCTTCGTTGAGTCTTTTTGTTTCCCAGCACCTCTGCAATTGAATACCCTCCTCGCAGTTACCCCGAATTCCCGCGATAATCACAAAGGCTGTTTTTCAATTGCACGAGCTCTGACGGCGTATCATCACTGCTTTTTTCAGTTACACGAACCGTCAAGATCGCAAACGGAGCTCAGTTGAACGAATCGCCGAGGGCGATCGTACATTACCGAATGCCCTGGTGCTTGTCAGAAGGGGCTGCACACACACGATAAATTACACGTATCCGTGCTCAAAGAACAGACAGAAAAAAACAGAGAGAAAGAGAGAGAGATTGCCAGGGGCGTCGTTTGTGTCTCGATTAGAAAAAAGGGCCATACAGTTGCAGCGTAACCGACTTGCCCGTGCTTGAGTCGGGGAACGATTTCCGGTACTGTTGATTTTGCGTCACGAAAAATAACGCTTCAAAATGCTCCACCGTTGACAGTTAACCCTGCTTGTCCGCACTCTCAATTACGCACTCTATCTTTCACAGGCTGTCTCGTTTGAATTTCGCGCCGTCATTTCCCAAATCACGTTTCAAACACTTCGAATAAAACTTACACTGTTACACTGAGGTCATCTGACAGAGGTCTTCTCCAGGGTAAGTTTTATTTGAAACGTGCTGTAGTTTGGAAAATTTCGGGCGAAAGTTGAATGAGTCACCCTGTACGAACATACACTAACAAGGCTACTCTACGTTCCTTTTCTTAAGTGTGCTCGTGTGCCCGTTTTAAAATACACAACCAACTGTTTGGTACTGCCAAGTGGTCCTCATCGTTATATGTACACTAACAATAGGAAATAACAGTTGTCGTCAGTTTTCAGTACATTGAAACACAATAGGCTCTCGTTACATTGTTAACTTCACAAAGAAAGATTTATCTTCTCTGACCAATTTCATGTAACTGCAATTTTCCATCAACTTTGTGGCAATGTAAAGAGACCCCATTGTAATAAAATTGTAACATTCCTCATTGTAACATTCTTTACACGGTACATTCTTGTTGAAGGAGTCTACATTAAAAACAATTACATTTCCAATGAACTGAAAACGCTGGTAAAGCTTCATCTAACATTATGTTTTCTATCAAAAAATCCTCGCCGATGAGAGGAAGCTTCTTCTTATGCTCGTGATCGTCCAATTTTCTTCGTGTTGATTTTTCAACGAATGATAAAGAACTCGTAAACCGCTTTTCTGTACGAGTTCCTGTTAAATCCTGTGGCTTCTGTTGATTTTTTCTGAGTGAATATTTCCATCGGGAAAAGCTCAAGATATATGTATATATTGGTGTGTGTGTATTAATAAATATATGCACTGGTACAATTTATTGTTATCGTGTATGTGAATGATTGCAGAGCGTAAGGCCGCGTGCACAGTTCATCAGCGACCAGGAAAGCGCGATGACTCGTAATATAATGAAGGAGGGCATAGCGGAGAACAATTACTATGGAGGACTCCGGGGAGGTAGACCATTTGCTACGACGAACAGTAGTCTGGTATCAGCTACTAAAATTCTGAACCATCATCTCTTCGGAACTGGCACTGGTCCCAGACATTATACAGGTAATAGTTTTACTACAAATTCTTGTCGTAATTTAGTAAATGTTCTTTTTTATTTTTATGAATAAACGTCCAATCCACAAGTAACATTTTCTATGAGAACAACAATAGTTTGTTTATGTAAAAATCTTTTATAGTATTATTCTAGCGCTTAGTTAATATGTTAATGGTACGTTGCTTGTAAAGGTTAGTGCCTTCTAAGATTATCCCAATTATGTTTGCCTGTCAATTCAACCCCTGTATTGATTTCCTTTATACATATTCTGGGTCAACGTAATACTTGGAGCCACTGTATATGCAGGTCATCGAAGGCAAATTTCAGGAACAAGCACCGAAAGCAAGCTTTCCTTGTCCGCTGATTCGATAGACAGCGAGGGTATGTCTTTCATAGACAAAAAAGTATCGAAATCGATCCTGAAGAAGTCTGAGAGCAGCAATAATTATTATAACAACGCCGACGATTCGGACACGGAGAAATTGATTACCGATAACGCGTCAACGATAACCATGTGCGACAACGAGACCAGCACCTGCGACATTTTTGCCAACGTCAATGGAACGAGGCTGAAACAACCTGTTTCACCCTTGCTCTCGAAACAAGTACTCGAGTCGATCTTTCGTACGAACAACAACGTCGACAAGGAGAATGAAGTGGATCAGAGCGAAGAAAAGAACCGTGCCTCGAAGATGAGCAGATCGATATTCGACGACGTCCTCCAAGGTACTTTTGTCATACCTTTTACTTTTTCACAAAAGAGGTAACAAGAGATCAACTTGTCGGCTAAATAAATTCTGTACACACCTCGGTTCGCCTTTTTTCTTCCTTGCAGAGGTGTTACAATCTTTCGATTAAATATCTCAAGTATTTTTTAATTATTTAAGCATTATTTTAACAATGTTTAGAAGAAAAGCACGCACAAGACGAGGCAATGTCAGAGAACAAGAACAAAGAAGAGAGAAAAAGATCGAAAACAAGATCAGAAGAGGCATCGAAGGACAACCAAACGATGCTGATATGTTCATTACGCCCGCACAAAGCGAAGAAATTAAGCTGCGATGAAAAACGAAAAGCCAAAGCGACCGGCCACAGCTGCACAACCACCACCGACACCAATTGTCTTCCTCAGGAACACCGTTTCTCGTCGTAGCGTAGCCTCTTTTATTCCCTTCGTGCTGGCATCCACTTTCTATGTCGCATACATGTAGATACGAAGATACAATCGCATCGCGGTGTTATCTTCTCTTTTATAAAACGCCATTTTGTTGTCTCTACATAATATGTCCAACGGACTCATATGTCTGTATTCGAATGCAATGTTTATCGGTTAAGTATATTCTGTATATATAAGAGACGCATATACATTTAAGACAGTGATATATAGACGTTAAATGATTAAATTTAATGAAAAATGATACGCGACGTGAAGAAATACGTATTTTCGGAAAGAAACTAGAATTACAAAACGCCTATAACTACACGTACTTAAGTACAGTGTTCATGAAAGGAACAAATCGAACTATAATAAGGAAAATATGTCGAATAAAAAGTGATGAAAATTATTGAGGGAACCTGTAACTTCCAAAAAATATATCTAATATGATGATTATTCAGAATAAGGTACATCTCATGAAATTAATTTTCTGATAACTAGATTGTGTTCTTTATAAAGTGTTATCCCCTAATTACAAACAATAGAATTTAGGAATTTGAAGAGATAACATTCCTTCCGTATCCTGCATAATTGTCAAGTTACTTTTCCTTTTATTTTATTATCAATTCATGAAGTCAGTTATAGGTTCCCATTAAGAACCCAAAGAATGATGCTAGTAAAAAGTTACAAATATAGCAAGTGATAATAATGATGAAGCTAATAACGACGATGGTCTGATGATGACGCCGATATCGATGATGTTGATAATAATAATAATAGCAATTAATGAATCTTTAGGCAATATGCTTTACTCGTTTGCTGAGAAAGAGAACTCTTCGTAATATAAATTATAAATAATCTAGCCGTACAGCACTGTTACTTCCTCTTTACGCCTAATCTTGTCAAATTAGGACAGCTTTGCGTGTCGCGAGAAATATATTACATACATTACATAAATGGCACAGTAAATGAAACACGCGTTCAGTTTATATATGAACAAACATCGTACTCGAGAAACAAAGCGTTTATAAATTTAATCACATTCTAGTACTTCGGTATGTGTTATTCAAAATGACACGAGTGTTCGTTCGTCTGCTAATTGTAAGTGTTTTACTATACAATTAGACGATATCGTTGTAATATTAGATTATCAGACACGCGAAGCGAAGAAAGCCTCGTTTAAATCAAAATACAATTTGGATCAATGATATTTGATATTTGGAGCAACGTGAAAACGTAGATAATTTAAACTCGACGATAACTGCCCATTTTTCAAGTTCCGGTTTTTAAGAATAATGATTAATTCATAATCTATTTTTGTAAAATTGATCGAGCAGATTTCCTTCATTTTTGTTGGGCCCGAAATGAAATTTCTGTAAGTTTGCTCTTAATTAAGTGACACGGAACATTAATTTTTAAGGGAGTCGTATCTACGTGATCACGTTTCTCCATGTATAAAATATATAAATACTTTATAATGCAAATATCAGAGTGGATCAGATTTTTAGAAGCCGAGGATATTTACATGCACAACCGTATGTGAATTCTGTTCAGTCGTTTTTAAGAGTTGAAGCGTATTTCGCGGATGTTTAGATATTAAGAGAAAAACGTGTTAACATGCTCACGTAGACTAGAAACAAAGCGTAAATATCATCCGTATTACATTCAGGTAACGACGTCTAGCCACGGTATTCATCATGTTTTCCAATCAAATTTTACAGCAATGTTTTAACTATAAAAATATTGGAATCAATTAACTTCGCCGAAAAAGATTTGCTAAAAAACAAGTTATAACGCGTGTACCTTATAAATATAATTACAATGCGTGCTCAAAAATTCGGTCATCTCCTTTTTTTTCTTACTCTAAACGGTGATTCGTTTTCTAATTTTAGAAGGGAGAGATGAACACTTAACCTCCCTTAAATCTCATTGTAATTTATATAGTTGAATAACAGAGATGTTTTGTTACGTTTTTAGATGAACCGTCAGTAAAATACATATCTGTAATGGCATTTCTATTCATTGTTATCGTAGTTGTAGGAAAACGAGTAATTGTACAGTTGCTGAGTAAAGAGAAAGAATGGTGGATATTCCCAGATGATGCAACTGTTTGAGAGTCATTGTTATGCTGAAGTTCATGCCTCGAATAATTTATAATATTTTATAATTATTTTCGACGTGAACAAATGTGGAAAAATTATATTCAAGATGTAACAGAGAATGCAAAAACTACTTGAAACGTATTAATACTGTAAAACTTTGTGTTTATTTAATAGCAATGAAGAATGTTTATACAATGAATACTTTATTTAAAACAAATAATTATTGTTAATGGATATTCATGCATATTGATCTAGTCAACGAAATATTATTTTTTATTATTGTTGAACATATTAATATCGTTGTTTTGTTTCAATCTAATCTATAATACTTTTCTCATAAATAAGAATTTCTTGTACATATAACATATATTAATTATTTTACATTGTTACCATGTTATACTGTTCATGGTCTATTATGGCCACCATTATCATTTAGCTTTATAAAATTGTTCACCTCTCTATATGCTATCATTTTTTAATACTTGTTATTTGAAGGTGGATCTTGATACCTGATAGTTGCTTGGAATTTCTAAGTAAATCAATGTCTTCTATAAACTAACAAAGTTGGAAGTAGAAAGTTCCTAGGAAAATATGCAGAACGTGATTTATTATTTATTGTTGTAGTGATATATTAGCAGAATTAGCATTGAGATAGTACAAAGAAAGCCATTGCATAGACATTTGTGGTATTGAATGAGTTCATCGGTTCACAAGGGTAGCAGTGAAAAATTTAAATGATTGTACAGTTTATAATGTTTATTAGAAGAGTATTGAAAAAAGACATGTTTTCCTGTTAACTCATTGATTTAATGATATAAGTCTGAGAATTAAATAACTTTTTACTCGTTTTTTAATTGTTTTATTAAATAATTCAAGAATTATAAATAACATTTAGTTAATATATGTTTTAATGTCTTTCTAATTAAACAACAATTTTCATATACATCTTCAAATGTATGATCTGATAGAGTCAGTAACTTAGAAATAATTAAAATTATTAAATTTTTGGTATACATAATTCATTTTTAATTATATATCATACTTATACGAAAGATTGTTACACAGATTATTTAATTAAATTTAGTCATCTGTTACATACATATTTTGTTTCTACATCTTTAAGGCCTACAGTTGTAGTCATAAGCCGAGTAATATGTAAAAATAAATAAAGTTGTAACTTGTCAGTTTTTGTTCCTTAGGTGAATAGTTTTAATCAGTTGTATCAACCTATAACATCAATCCTATATCCATTAATTTAATATGTATCAAGAAATGAGAAGGTTCTCAGAAATATATAATATTGTAATTCTTGTTAAATAACTGTTTCTTATAAAAATGTACTTACTGATACTATCAACATCGTATATAGACTACAACCTGCAAAGAAAGCTCTTAAGTTGTGTGAAAAAAACATTGAGTAATGCGAGGAAATTGCTTTATTGCAGTTGCAGTTGCTATACAAGGATCATGTGTTTTTAACAGAGTGGAAACAAAGTGTCGATTAAAACCAAGTGTTTTTTTTTGTTTTCTTCTCTTTTGAGAGACAAGAGTTTTAATTGAAGTCTAGCTCGATGCCGGCGGTGCATTTACTGTTTCAGTTGTAGTGCTTTGTGAATCAGATATTGGTTTCTCTTGCAACTCTAACCATGGTAACCTTTTCTGTAGTTCCAACCTGTTACAAATAATAATAAACATATCATGTTTCATCTTAATAATGCATCTTACTAATAGTAAGTAAATATTTTACTGGAATTTGTTGTCTAATCTTACCTATATTTTGGGTGACTTATGGCATATACATATGGATCCAAACAAGCAACAGCTTTACAAGTGCATGCTGGTATCATTGTAACACCAGGTGTTAAAAGGGCTTTATTACCAAATGCTCCAATCATTGCCATTACTCCATATGGAGTCCATGAGAGGATGAACAAGAAGCAAATTGTGATGGCAGCCTTCAATTAAATATACACATTAAATTGATAACATATTTCAAACAAATATATATCTTTACTAGTAAAAAAATAATGACTCTGTGTCAAAATATTTTTTATACAAGCTAGTATAAAATACCTTGGCTATGCGAATTTCGGCGCTTTGACTACTTGTATTCGCATTACTCCGTAAGCTGTCCACATTCATCTTTTTAGCTTGTTCGCGTAGAGCTTTCTCATGATTGACTACATGACTGACAATTTGGCTATAGTAATATATTATAAGCGTCATTGGAATAGCATAAGAGAATGTAAATATAGTGGCAACAAAAATTCGTGTTTCATTTGAGTCAGTCAAATAGTCAAAGGTGCAGCTGGTGAGGAAGCCTTCAGGTACAAAACGTCCCCATACACCCATAGCAGGCATCAATGCCCAAGGTATGGTGTAGGTCCAAATTAACACAATAAATAGTATCACCTGTCCACGAGATAATTTTCCATCAAGCGGCCTTGCTATTGTACTAGAGTAAAAAAATGTAAAATATTATCAATGAATCTATTACAAATTCTGTAGGCAAAGATTATTTCTAATACTTAACTTTCCATAGTGAAATTAATAAATAAAATTTGTTGAAAGTATGAAATTTTCATTTTCAATAGTTCCAATATATTTTTTCACTTTAACAAAAATGAATAAAGTCCATACCTATATCTATCGTATGCTATTGCCGCATTTGTCATCGAAGCACCAATTCCACTTAAGGAACCAATTACTGCAAATATTTGACATCCCAAGTTTCCCAGAGCGAAACCAGTGTTGAATGAATTATATATAAAGATTGGAGTTTTGATCATCATGGAGAAGTCGCAAATAGCAAGATTCACAACAAACATGTTTGAGGGTGTTCTTAATGATTTGGCACTTGAAAGAAGAACAAGTAACAAGAACATTTAGTATGCTAAATACCAATTATTTATAACTATTAATTTGAAGATAACATAACAAACTCTTTGTACACCCAAGTGCAATGCAAGCTTTCTAAGTAAGTCTACTCCCACTATTTGCTTTCAGTTTTGGAAGAACATAAGAAAAACCTAAACTTAGGGAATACTTAGATCCTCCTGCCTTTGCCCTTTACTCTTGTTTGCACTCTTAAGAAGCCTACATTGGCACCTGAGCACTTTTATATATGCATAAAAAGAAGAAACTTTTTAATTAAAAAAATGACTTACGCGCAAAAGATCCATATCACCAAACCATTCCCAAGTAAGGCAAGGAAAGTAAAAAGGATATATAAGAGGGCCAATAAATAATGAAGGGAGGGGTTCGGCTCAGGGTAGACCAGCCAATGTTCCGGTATATGGATTATTTCTTCAGGGGGAACGTTCCATCCCAGCATACGTGGTGGTCCTGCTGGTAAATATCTCGCTTCCCAATGAATACTGTCGTTGGACATGTCGGCCACTCCGTCTGCCAGCCCCTCTCCTTGATACAGTTGATCAACCAGCTGTTTTATACCATTCGTTCTACCCTCTTGAATCAACGAAACCCTAATCCGTTAGCTTAGCTGGCTTCACACGAGGATCAGCCAAGAGATTATCCCCTAGTTACTCTGGGTCAGCAGAAATGTGCGTCAATGTCGTAAAAGTTAGTCACACAGATCATCAGTCCACATTTTGATTTTTGTAAAGAATACTTAATTAGTTAACATAATGTTTCCTATATATAGAATTTTTGTTTGCTTGAAAATAATAAAACAAAAACTTAATATTTTTAACATTATCCCCATTTACTTCTTCACACAATTATACATTTACACATTATGGCAAACAAATTGGCAACAATAATTAAATAATCTTAAATTAATAATAGAATTTTTTAATACTTTCGTCTAGCCAAATTAAATAACTACACGTTATAAATATTAAATACTTGATTTAAAAATCACATATTTTTAAAAATATAAAATGTAAAACATTTTTGTCTTTTTTTAATATTTCCTAGCAGCATAACAATTGCAAATACTGTCGAACTTTATAATTTTCTTAAATTTTCATTAATTTATACTCTGCCTTGTCTCTCAGCAGATTCATCAGCTAAGGTATAGGCTGGTAGATACGATGATGGATTGTTAGGATCTCGTAATCTTGGATTTGGTACTGTAGTTGATTTTCTTCCTAAGCTTGTGTATCCTTGATCATATAGTGGACAATAAGGTACATTGTGCTTCAGTAAAAATTTCCAAACTTGATCATATGACCAGTTTAAAATAGGATTTACACGAATTAATTTTGGCCAGCTTGGATCAGTTGGAGTGAAAGCCTCTACATTTTCAGAACCAGGATCGCCGCTCCTCATTCCCATAAGACTTGCTTTTAAATTTTTTCGTTCACTTAACAACGAATGCAATGCTTGCTGTATTGGGAATCTTTTCTTTATTAATTCTAAATCGTAATACCGAGCAGCTTTTTCTACAAAAGAATCCACCTAAAATCATTTCAAAAAATTATACAACATTTGTATAAAAAATATATAATTTATATCATAAATAATACATGACTTTTACCTCTGGAAAAGGCTCAGCTGTTACATATAGACATAACAATGATGAAATATTTTGTAATTTTGCAACACAAGCTGTCAAATGCAAAACTACTGTACAATCCTTCCCACCATTAAAGCTTATAAAAATTTCTTCTGGTTTGTACCTAAAGCGAAAATAAATGTTACTAATAATAAATGATTCATTAAAAATAATTAACTTTAATTCATCTTACTTACATTTTATAACACTTTTGTAAGATATTCAATGCATTTTTTATATGAGGTTGATTTTCAGCATCTTCAAAAACCATTTTTGCATGATAATAACTGAATTTATCATCTAACTGTCGAATTTTTTGAATTGGTAAATTGTACAAAAGTTCTACTTTTGCTTTTAAAACATCTTCCTTCTTCCCTTCTAAACTAATTCTTGTGAAGCATTCAGGTGCTGTTTGTGGATAACTACCAATATTAACTTTTCCTTTCCAATGCTCTGCATGCTTATCCAAAATTTTTACTATTGATAATTCATTCAAATTAATGTCTATCTCTTCAATGTGTAAAGGAATATTCCCTTTTAATTGTGATATAATAACATCAATAGCACCTTCAAAATATTTTGGGGAACCTGGTAATATGTATACATTTTTTGCTTTCACAACTGCATATTTTTCTAAAAATTAATTTTTATATTTATTTATACAAATGACATGTTATATTTTTATTTATTAATTTACTTACTTGGTGAATAAGCATAAATGAGTTCACAAGGTCTTGGTACAATAGTAAGACGTTCAGCTTCTTTTTCATTTGGATAGATATTTGCACAGATATCAATTAACTCTTCATGTGATTCAAGTTTTAATTCAAAAGCTTTAGCTACAGCTTCATATGTTACATCATCATGTGTAGGTCCAACACCACCAGATGTAAATACAATAGGATATTCTTTGGAATCATTGTACACAGTCTTAGCAATTTCATCTACCTAAAATAAAAGGCTACATTACACGTAATGAGAATATTATACTTATATATTATTTTACTTTTAAATGTTTTGTTAGTAAAAGAATAACTGGAATATAAAACTTTTGAATGAAATCTAATATCTTTAATATTTAATTTAATGGTAGACTCTAGATACTATAATATGATAACTGTAACTGATTATACTTCAAAGCAACTCTTTTTAATCTATTGATCTAATATGAAGATAGCAATACATTAATACGCACAATATCAGGGATCACAGTTACTTTTTGAAGCTTAATACCAACAGTTCGTAAAGATTTTGCCAAATACGAGGTATTTGTATCTACAACCTGTCCACGTAAAATTTCATCTCCTATTACAATTAAGGCTGCAGTTTCGATGATGTCCATTTTGTATGATGTTCCTATGTAAATTAAAATAAGTTTATATAAGTAATTATTTAGCACAATTTATAGTTTTAAATATATGAATAATAACTAGTAAACTTCCCACTTAATTCGTTTAAAACCTAATTAACATGACTGGTAGGAATGATGCTTTGTTATCATTGATCAAATAGTTTTATTGCTACACCTCAGGTTCCACTTCAGTAAAGATAAAATTTAGGTGATAAGAATTAATTCTATAACACATTATGCTTGTACCTTGAATTTTGTTTATTTTACATTATAAAATTCGTTTAATGAAAATTTACATAAATCAGAACTTACAATGTCATTATTACCTTATATAAAACAAATTAATATTTTCATTAATTTATTAGAGATTTCTTAAAAATTAAATTGAAAGTGTTTGTTAAATTTTTATTTTCTCAATCATGGAGGTTGTTACATCAGTTGGTACTGGTGTTGTATTGTATGTTTTCTTCTTTTTTTTCTGCTTAGCACTCCTTGTCTTCATTTTTGGTATTTGCTGACGTACTTCTTTAGATAATTCTTGAAGTTGTTGATCTATTTGTTCTGTTTTATCCTTGCGCTCCTTCACAGCTTTATTTTCTTTTAAATTTAACTATTAAAATGAAGAAGGAAATGTATGTGAGAATTTATAAATAGGCATATTACTATTCATTATATAAATATCACATTGTTTCATCAGATCATAAAAATTCACTTACTTTTTTCAAATTGGTTACAACTTTTTGTGCTTTTGCCTTTAATTTTACACTACGAACAGTTGCTACTTTGAAAACATTCTTGTTCTTTTGTTTCCTTTGCATCCCCTTGTTCTTTCCCATTATTTTCTGCAATACTATTATTTGTAGATTCATTGAAATTATTTTCCATTTTCAATTTCTTCATTGCTGGCTCCTCGCCTTTCAAAATACTTTCAGTTAATCGAAATGATACACGAATCATTTCCTTAGATGGAGCAACATTTCTGACATTATGTAAATTGACTAAAGAATCTGAGTTTAATGTACAACCAAGTTTCTCTTCCACCAATAATTGTCCAAGCTTGCAAGCATCTTCATTTTTACTTGCCTTTACAAAACAATATAAATGTATGATTGGTGGTTGACTACAGATTTGTTTAATTTCATCTGAATTAAACCAATCAAAAAACACATCCAAAAACTCAATAGCAAGAGCTGGTAGATTCATAACTATATGTTCAGTACCCACTTTATGATTAATTCTTCTGTTTAAAATATCAGTTTTAACAATGTTTCTTAAAAAATCTCTTCCATCCATATTAAAAGATCTAATCTTTTCTTGAACTTTATTAATTGTAATATTTTTCTGAAGCCATTTGTAAGCTTCAGGGTTCAAATCATTTGCAAGTACTTCAATTTTTTTTCGAGCAGCAGGAACTGCAAATGGCCCAACTCCAGCAAACACATCATATAAAACATCATTTTCTTTCATAAATGTAATCAAATTTGAATGTTCTGTAGATAATCGAGAATTCCAGTAAACTTGAGAGAAATCTAATTCATATGTACAACCATGTTCTTTTACAGTTGTAACAGTATTCTTATCTCCTGCTAGGATTTCCATACTAAAATGTCTAAATGCTGTATCAATATTGTTAATTTTATTTACTACTGTTTTGGCATTTGGAATAGTATCAAGATAAATTTGACCAATAATACTCTTATATGGTAAATGTGCATCACGCAAGTTTAAGTGTAGAATATGACCTATCAAACTATATGAAGTTGGGATATCAATTCCTTCAGGCAAAATAGCTTTTAACATGTCGTATGCAGTCCAGTTGTCATAATTCAAAACAACTTTTGTTGTTCCAAAATATACATATCCTTCTAAATATTCTCTTTCATTTTCCATAAAATCTTTGAAACATTTTATGATAAACGGGTTTAGATACACTGTAACTTCATCTTTCTCTTTTTGAATTGATTTAAAGTTTCTTGTTTTAAAAACATATTTTTTCAGAATTGGTTTTATTTTGGAAATGTTAATCTTACTATATTTTAAACATGATAATTCTACAGTGGTTTTAAATGCTTCACGATTCAAGCATGTCATTCCTCGCACTGATTCATGAGGAACCAGCAAAGAAGTCATTGTATTATTGTAAAAGCAATGTTGTGTCCAAAAACATCTCTTGATTATTGTAATTAACCATCGACTTCTGTCCATAGAATATAATTATGTATTATCTATGAATGTACCCTATAAAGAATTTCTAATTACCGCATTTAATTAAATTATAAATCAGTTTTGTTTTGAACATTTAATGTTTTACGTTTTTAATACTTTCATTGGGTTAATGAAGCTATATGTGTACATCTATAAGATAATTCTATTGCTAAGGAATTCCTAAGTGTTGCCAAATATATGGCTCTTGTCTTTTGCTGTTTATTTCCCTTCACTATTCTAAGGTACCTTAAATATAGTCAAGCTCATAAAAATAAATTTTTCAATAATAATTATAAATAACAAGATTTACAGAGAAGACTCAAATTAAAGACCAATCAGAACAAATATAAAAAGAAAGATATCAATAATGAAAATACATGATAACATTATCATAAAATTTTAAGATTACAGAAGCTCTTATTACATTTTATGCATTTTATATTATTTTGTGGAATATAAAAATTTACCAGCTGTTTACTTGTGAAAATAAAATCATATTTTATAACAATTCGAAAAAGTATGAATGAAAAATTTATTTTTTTTGGCACAAACTATATACAATATTTCAAACAACAATTATTATTTACCTTTATACGTCTTATTTTTTTCACAGAATCAAAATTCTTCTTATCCAGATAAAAAAAAGCATAACATATTTTGAGGTTAACAACACATGTTTGTTTCTTAAACGTGTCGTAGAATACGCGAATCAAATTGTGTACAAAAATACGTATAAATATTTATCTTTTATTCATAAAAATAATATACGTTGCATTACTTTATCAACTTTTATTTAATTTACAAATAAACAGAAGATATTTTTATTCATGATACATCTATAATAATAATTTCAAGTATGTTGTAAATTGTTGCTTTTTGATTAACAACGTATCATAATTAATATAAACATAAATCCAAAAATTATAATTTGAGAATTGTGTATCTATATAATACATACATATGTACATCTTCTATTTAATATCATAGTACGTTGAAATAAATAAAACAATTTTTTCATATAATTTTATTATAAATTAAACATATTTTATTTCTTTATTTATACTATACATTAATTATGTATTAATAAAATTGGTCAGTTTAAAGTTTACAATAAATACGGGAAATATCAAAAGTGCAATAAATTAATTAAAAAAAAACGAAAAACTTATTTCTCTATATTTTTCATTGAAAAAAAAAAATATAAATAACATGTAAAAAAAATTGCATAATTTATACATACGTTTATTGACAAACATTATCTGTAAATTAAATTACTTTATAATAAACCTTAGTATTTACTGTACACGACTAAACAATACCTAGTTGAATGCTTTTTACAATACCAAAAACTTAAAGCCTAAATTTTACTTTTAATTTTTATTCAGAGCTGCCATATGAACACTAAGAATAAAGTTATAATACAATAACCTTTGTTCGTAATTTTTCTGTATTAATACAGTAATAAAGAACAAAATTTTTCGTTTTGCTTAGAAGCAGTCTCAAATATCATTTATATTGAAATAGCTGTAGCTCTAACAGCTGCACTCAACAAAGGATTTGGATCTGGTTCTTCAGTTAATATATTAACTTTTACCCACTCTCGCCGTTTATTACTTTGTCGTAGTGCATCAATAACTGCTTGCACATATAAACCATCTTCAAAAGATGATGCAGAAAATACTGGTTCTTTTATCCAACCTTTCTTATCTTCAACAGATTGAAAAGCTTCTCTTAATGCAGTGATCATTTTCCTCAGTCCTTTGATATATGGCCTTGGAATGGAATCAGCAACAGGAAGTGATATATCTTGTAAATCTTCTGTATCACGATATAATACTTGTTCTTGCCCATTACAACAACCATACAGATCTCCACCTCGTGCAAGAAGATGATTTCCACCCCCACATATTAATACTTCTTGAGAAAGTTGACCTTGTAAATGATTGCTTAAAGTCACTGTTACTAATGTACCACCATTCAATTCCATTTGAAAACTGCAAAAATCTGGAGATGTGACACGCCTTATTCCATTTATGTGTTTTGTAGTTTGAGTAAAAGTACGAACTACAGCATGTACTCTTGAAGCACGTTGACCAATTAAATGAAAAATTAAATCTATTACATGACTTCCTACCAATGCTAAAATTCCTCCTCCCATTATATCATCACATAGCCAATCATATCCTATAAAAGCAAATAAAATTATATTTAGAGAATAAATACTTTTGGATAATTATAGGTAATCATCAATTACTAACCATTGTGTAATAAACTACCCATATGTACTCTAACTTCTACAACACTTGCAGGACCACACAAATATCCATCTTCTAAAGCTTTTTTCATATGAACAAATGCTGGTAAAAATCGTAAGCTGTGATTGACAATGCTTATCAGAGAAGGATAATATTGTGCAGCTCGTACCATTTTTAGAGCTTCACTTTGACTTAAACCAGCTGGTTTATCACATACAACATGCTTTCCTATTCCTAGAGCTTTCACTGCAATCTGTGCATGTAAGCTGGGAGAGCACATAATAAATATTAAGTCAACATCTTTTCTAAGAAGTACATCGTCTATTCGACTGGTATGAAATGGTATTTCAAGATCACTGGCAACTTCTGATACTTCTGCTAATGTGCGTCCCCATATAGCTTCAATTCTAAAACCCTTTTCTCTTAGGAAAGGAATAATTATTCTAACGATACTTCCTGTACCAAATACTCCAATACCAGGTAATGTCATTGTTAACTTTTTATATTTGTCTAGGCTAAACCAACTATCAATATTTATTTGTTTTAGTAATTTTATAGATCTTTTTATCTAGTTCCTTTGTTTTTTAATTTGATATGCATAATAATACAATTTTGTATAAACATCACATTATAATTAAACATAACTCACATAACACCATACATATACTGTACATATACATACATTTACAGCTGAATTTTTGTCATATACATATACAGAAATCAAATGTATGGTGGAAGGAATAAAACATACAAAAATGTAACTTTATTTATTAAATTTTTATGGAAAAACAATAACGTGTATATCATTTACTGCTAATTAAAACAGTATCGTAGTAAAATACCAGATTTCATTTAATCTTTTTGTCATTGATTTTCCGGAAAGACACGAAACAAACCGAATATAAACGATGATTATACTCCCTGCGCTAACCTGTCAGTTTGCTTTGCGCGAAGTTGATAGTTGTCCGTCACGTCCGTTCCATTCAATAAAATACTTAAACATGTAAATATGCAACTGAATCAAAAAAATCAGTGGTCACAGTGCAACTTTTTATTTTAAATTCTTATACATATACGAGTATTATACATCAGTAACTAATACAAAATGTCAGAGATTCGTAAAAGAACAGTTGGAGATGCATCAGCAGAAACGCGGGATGTCAGTGATAATCAGGTAAATGTAGTTTCCTCATTTCCAAAAATGTTTTTTTTTAATTTATAATAATTCTACGTGGAATTGACTACTATTTGTTTCATTATTCCTTCAGATTAATTGCGAATTGACCTTTGTCTTCCATGTTATATATGTATATCAACTTAAATTGAATGGTAATGACAGCACTAACACTAAATCATTCTGATTAATATACTACTACAATACTACTATTTTTACAATACCCTCAATCACCGTGGTCTTATAATTGCTTTTACGTCACTTTTTCCGATGTTTTTTTGTTGGTGTTCTTTTATTCCAAATGAATTGTTAATAAATAATTTGTCAATATTTATACAATGTTTACTTAATTCATTTATAGTTGTTAAATCATACTTACAAATATTTCTATGTATTCTTTTCTGTAGAAATTAAGAAATATATTTTGTGAAATATTTTTCTACTAGAAATATATGTACAGTGACCAGGATATAAATAGGAACAAGTACTTTTGGAGATTTAACTAATATTTTTTATATAACATAATGAAAATATTATATACAGATATTTAAGTAAAACAAAATTTGCTTATAAGTACTTGAAAAAAAATTTTTGTTATAACAAGAAAATAAAAATATAATAATTTTAAGGAATTATATTAAATATATTATCTAAAAGTAAAAATTATGTTTATATAGAAAGAAGACGTGGAATCTGAAGATGATGCAAAATTGGAAGTTGAGGAATTGGCTAAGACTTTACCACAAGGAACTGATCATACTCCACACATTTTGGATTCAGTCCTCTCTGGCTTATCTGATAGGTAAAATCTTTTAAGCTAATAATCTAATTGTTATGTATTCTATAAGTATTTGAAATGATAAAATGTAATTTGAAAATATAAATTTTTGACAATAAAAAGTAGAATTTCTTGTAGATGGAAAAATTGGGTGATCAGAACTATTTTTACCTTGTTTATGATTACTGGATTTTGTGGTATCATTTATGCTGGACCATTAGCATTGATGGCTACGGTAAATTTTATTAATCAATTTTATAAACTGAATTTCAAATTTACAAGATGATGTATTCTTTTATATGCTTTTGTAGACATTAATTGTACAAGTGAAATGTTTCCAAGAAATTATTAACATTGGATATGCAGTTTATAGAATTCATGGTTTACCATGGTTTAGATCTCTATCATGGTATTTTTTAATTACTTCCAACTATTTCTTTTATGGAGAGAATTTAATGGACTATTTTGCTGTAGTAATTAATAGAACAGTAAGTATGTTTACATATTTTTATTTCTACAAGGTTTACTTTAATAAAGTAAAGTGATTATTAATAGTAATATCAATTTATGATTTAATTAATTTAAAAAATATGTTATGAACATGCCTAATACTGACATAAAATCAATAAACAAAGCTTCAAGTATTGCCTTTATATACTTTGTATGGCTTCCAGTTCTATTTTGTGAGGTTTCCAACATATCTAAATTTTAAGTTAATTTATGTACTAAATATATATAAAAGTACTGTTATTGAAAAAAAATTATTTTTACAATAAATTCGAAATTTATATCATGTGTAAATTTAAAATTAATGAAATATTTTCGTTTGTTTTACAGGAATATTTACGTTTACTTGTTACATACCATCGTTTTATTTCATTTTGTTTGTATATTGTTGGTTTCGTATGGTTTGTACTTTCACTTGTGAAAAAATATTATATGAAGCAATTCTCTCTGTTTGCTTGGACACATGTTGCTTTACTTATTGTTGTGACACAGAGTTATCTTATAATTACAAATATTTTTCAAGGCTTGATATGGTAAGTAACTTTAAATAGATTGTTGTTATCTGGTATATATTTTATAGTAATGTATATTTATTTGGTCCAGGTTTATTGTTCCAGTTAGTATGATAGTGATAAATGATATAATGGCATATATGTTTGGCTTTTTCTTTGGTAAAACGCCTTTAATTAAACTATCTCCTAAAAAGACTTGGGAAGGTTTTATAGGAGGTGGAATCTCAACAGTAATACTTGGTTTAGTGGTAACAATACATTTATATTATTTATTAATATACCGTGCAACTACAATGTATTTTAGATTTGAAGACTTGAAACATATGTTTTAGATTTCATACATCATGTGTCAATACCGCTATTTTGTTTGTCCTATTGAATATAGTGAAGCTTTAGGACAAATGACAATGGATTGTGAACCATCTGCTTTATTTCAACCTCAGGAATACAGTTTACCTGGTAGTTTACAAGTTGTGTGGAAAATGGTAACTTCTTTATATAAATCAGCAATGATTTATTACTACATACAACAGAAATTAAATAAATTTAATGTATGCTTTTTTCAGATTAGTGGAAAGTCTACCATGTCTTTATATCCATTTTTACTCCATTCATTATCAATGTCAGTATTTAGTTCTGTAATTGGACCGTTTGGGGGCTTCTTTGCCAGTGGATTTAAGAGAGCATTTAAAATTAAAGTAATTACAATTAATTTTTTTTATCGCTTAAGTAAGTTGCATGATTAATAATAATTAATAATTCCAGGATTTTGGAGATATTATTCCTGGTCATGGTGGAATAATGGATAGATTTGATTGTCAGTATTTGATGGCAACATTTGTAAATGTTTATATATCTTCATTTATTCAAACTGCGTCGCCCCAAAAACTGTTACAACAGGTACAGTTTACAATTTTTAATAATTTTTTTTCATGATTTTGCTTCATAATTTTATATATAATTTATAAATGATTTGTCTTGTCACTTTTATACACAGGTGTACAGTTTAAAACCAGAACAACAATTACAATTATTTCAAACATTAAAGGATTCACTAGAAAACAGGGGTTTGTTGAATATTTATTGATGTTCTAATGTTGGTGATAATTATTAATGAATTGTATCACCTTTAAACAGCAGAAAAAAATGTTAGAAAAATTATTTCTAATATCTGTCTGAATATTGTATGTAATGTTTGTGGAAACAGCATTAACAATACTAATCATAGTAATATATTAATACTCAACTGGTCGCATGTTTTACTGAAAACTTGCAAGATTCAAAAATATTTATATAACTGTCGCAAAACATTGTACTATGTTTTTTTAATGGTTTTGTAAGAGTATCACTTTGTTTGATTGAAATAATTGAAATAATTCATATGAAATTACACGCCTAATTAATTATCGTTGATTGGATTTCTAAAAATTAATATAAAATTCATCATATTATTTAACAATTATAAACTATTTATTTACATAAAAGAAGCGGCCAGTTAAACATTAAATGAAATGATAATGATAAAATTTATTTTATAATTAGACAATTAAGAAGCATGTAATGCAATATTTGCAGTTCTTTTGCATTCCGCAACAAACAGTCCATTTTTCTATCGAGAAAAAATTTATATTAAACTGTGATGATGATAGAAATTTGACTACATGTTTCTTTTATAACGATTAAACCAAAGAATGTCAGACATACTGTTATATAAAAGAACTTCTATGAATTATAAATATTTGTTAAATATCGTATAAATACTTAAAATGTTTTTCAAATATATTTTTATTTGATATTTCTCTTCATTGATAAATCATAAAATAACAGTGAATTTATCAATGAAAATAAATTCATCCGATCATTCGCCCAAAATTAAATGTATGTGTATTTACATCAATCAGATCTCAATATATTTTTAAATTGTAATTGTGCATTTAAGATTTCTAATAATAGATACGAATCTCACATTACATTTGTCGTTTACATATGATTTGAAACAGCAATAGTGTTTAGTTTTAATATTATTTGAAGAACTAATGAACTTACTGTAGTCAGTTTATACATTATACATGTATTAATTTGTTTATAATTAATATAATACATATTAGTTACTATCGAACAAAGTAATAAAGTACATTTTTATACTTTTGTTATAATCAGTGTCATAATTTGTGTACAAATATCTTTCTTATTCTGCAGTATTAACCATAAAATATTTTCTTATAACAAGTATTTTAAATATATCAAAATGTAATATTATAAACCAACTGATGTCATATTTTATTACATGCTTTTGCAATATTTACATACTTGACTATTCTCTGATACTAAATATTATGACACTGAATAATATGTTTTAATTGATACAAATATACGTATGAATCTGTAGAAAAAGAGGAAAAAAATGGTAATTTTTATTTGTCTTTAATTCGATTATAATCTTACAGAATTCAAAAATTTGACTTGATATTCAAAAAGTGCTATGAAATATGTTTCAATTTATATTGTTAGTATATTTTAAATTGTGCCAATTCTCTATAGGGGTAAAATGGATCTCCGAAAAAAGTAGTCATGTAAAAAATAATATGGCACAATTCATGGTATTTCTCTGGTTGCATTACATTTCCAGTTGCGATCTTATGTATATTTTACATAGTTGATTTACGTGCGCTTTAGAAGCAAATTATGCAATGTACCTAACTCAGAGTAAATACTTATACTTTTCTTTATTATGAAATATTTGTATATTGTTTTAATGTTGAAAATACAATGTTAAAAGAACTTATACATGTATACAAAATGAAAAGAAATAGTAATAGAGAAATGGATAAATATATATTTATTTAATAGAAAACATAATAAAATATATGTATATGTATATAGATAAAAGATTTTGTGAAACAACAGACATGTTACTATAATTATAGATTTTTAACTGGAGGTGACTTAAATTTAAATATATAACATATTTATGTAGTGGTACAAAAAAATAAATAAATTCCTGTAAATGTTATAAGAATTAAAATCTTTGTTAATTTTATTATATTAAATATAATGTTCATATCTTCCTTCTGCATTTTCGAAATCTGGTACAATTCAATATTAGCTGATACAAGAACCACAATGGAACTATGTGGGTAGGACAGATTACTACTTTTTTTTAGAGTTGATCGTTTGGTGCAGCACTTGTCTGAGAACCATCAAATTGCACTGAATCGCGGGTGTGAACATTCTAATTTAACTCTCTATTAATAATTTATTCGTACCAGCATTAAAATAATGCTAATACCATAAATAAATATATACGTTTATATATATATGTATATATGCATACATAAATCTTTAGTTGTTATTTCTTTTTAAATTCGAAGTGCGTTGTACATACAGAATTGACATGTCTGACCATCACAGTGGAAAAGGTTATACACCTTTACCGCAAAGTATAAGCAATACTGATACTGAAGATGAGGAAGATTGTTTGGCTCAAACAAACGAAATTCCTAAAGATAATGTCGATGATACAATGCCGGTAAGTTGAAATTATACAAAAATTCTACTTGTTTCAATCATATTATGAGGCACATTATTAACAAGAATAACGTAATTCATACAAATTAAAACTTTTTAACTATGTCTCTATTAGTACTTACAACATGTAATTAATCTTATAAAGAAGGAATTAAAGTTATACATATAAAATTAAATAACAGACATATAATGAATCACAATTATAGCAATCAACTACTATCCATGAAAATGGAGCATATTATCCACTGGATGAAACAAGAAATTTAGCAAATCGTGCAAAAAATGGGCAAAATATACTTAAATATTATAGAGACGATATGCCTATAATGGTAGTTGAAGGCGGTGATTTATGGAAAAAACGTGATATGTCTCCTTTACGACGATTCTGTTTAATTGCTTCTGTACTATTATGTATTGCTACAATAATTGTATTTCTATATGTCTTACCATGTGATAATTCAATGGTATGTCCTTCAATTAATGAGCCACAACCATTTATTTCTTGGGATAAAACTTTACAAGGAAAAGGTTAGTATAACAAAACATAAAAAGAACTAATTTTGTGTAATAATTTACATGTATTTTAGAATGAAATAGTTTAATTAACAGCATGTATTTAACATGAAAAGTTTGTTATTGAATATGAAGAGGGTATATGAAAAATTGGACTCAAATTTTAAATATTGAAGATATTCTTTATTATATAACATTCATATTTAAAGTAAACTAAATGACCTATTAAATAAAACTATATGACATGTTTATTTAATGTTTTTTTTTTTAGAATTAACTGGTCCTATTTCTATTATTCGTGGAAATCCAACAAATCTTATATTTCTTGTTCGTGGACAACGATATAAAGGAAATGACACAAATGATAGTCAAGGACAGATATCAACAGAAGGCGAAGGAGTTATGTCTATGCAAGGAAACAGTGGTTTACCATTGTGGTTTGTTTCATTGAAAAGATCTCCTACTGAAATTGATTGTATCACTGTTGATACAGATAAATCAGGAAAACCAGATTGTATAGTTGCTGGTGATCAAGGTCTTTTGGCTAGTATCGAACCTATTGCAGGAACCATACATTGGAGTTCAAAAATTCATACATTTGAAAAATTACCACTAATTTTATCAGATATTGATTCAGACGGAGTTGAAGATTTTTTAAGTGTAGAAGTAGCTTCAAAAAAAATGCCTAATCTTGTTCTCCTATCTGGAAGAACTGGTCACCTTTTAGGACAATATTCACCTGAAAATTGTTCATTGATTGACTTGTATAGTCATATTTTCAATAATACTATATCTTATATTTGTTATAATAATAACAAGAAAAGTAAGTATGAAATATATTCTAATTACAAATATAAATGATATGGTATAAAATGTTTAATTTTTATTTTTATTACAAACAAGATAATGTACAGTTTTTAATATTTTCAGGTGTTGTTAAAACAATGACTGTTAAAGGATTATTACATGCTATAAAATTACCAGAAGCACATAAACAATCTATCACGAAGTTATCGGTGACAATTCGCACGTTTAAAACGTTAAATATTGACAATGAAAAATATAATTGGACACTCACACCATATCATTATTTATCTATAAAAAACGAAGGAACGTGTCCTGGAGAATTTTGCAAAGCTAGAGTAAATTTAACGCTACAAAAATTGGGAAATCAACCGATAACGATATGGGATTATATTAGTCCCAATTCTTTTGTATCAAAACCAGATTTCTTAGTTATGTCAGGAAAACCTTATACTTCCGGATTTTCTATTAAATTTTGGCAGTGGATTAATTCAATGCCTGAACATACAAGAAAAGTATCTGTTGTTACAGAAAGAAGATTAATAGAAAGAGTATTAATAGTTTTTGTAAATTATACAGATGTTCAAGTTATGAATGCAAGTCAGAGTGATATTATTCAATTATGTCAGGACACAGATTGTCAACCAGATCTGAATTCCCGTGTTCATTTTAGTTCAATTAAAATTGATAATATTAGTGAAGATGGTTTTCCTGAATTAATAACTTACTGGTCCTCCTATGACATAGAATCACTGAAAGTACTGACATCAAAAGTACAAGTTGTGAAATTAGATTCATTTCTAACTAGTTTTCCGCATATGGGTGTTTAATTATTTTGTTTGTTCATCGTTCATTTTTTTCTGTAGATAAAACTAATTATTAGATTTTATAACATAAAGGTTATCAACATCTTAATAATGAAACGGAAACGTATCCGTTCCATTAAACAAGAGAAGGAAACTTGAGCAGACTTATTATTAATGGTGTCTGGCCATAAATTTATCAGAACTAGTCAGCACTTGCAATTAGTAATAACGCAGCAACGATTTTCATAGGCGCCTAATTTACCATAATTTTTAACGCGGTAATTTTCATAATCACCAGTTATTGTTAATGTTTAAATATTTTGAATGAACTCTCAATGGTGCCTTGCAAAATCTATATACAAGAATTACGAGCAAACAGATAATTAAAATTTACGAAGATACTTGCATGTTACTAGAGAAAATTTATTTATTAAAAGTTTTACACGTTTAACAAGATTTTGAAAGAAATGACAAAGTTCCTTTTCAAATATTCCTTAGTAGTGTATGTAGGAATGTTTTATGTATATTCAACAGTTTGAGTGCATTCATTGCTAAAAGATTGATCATGTTGCACACAAATACTAGCGCAGTATTATAAAAGTTGAATAATAAATAAAACTCATGCTCTAGTCATATTTGTATTATATTTTTAAAATTTGAAATTGTTTACGAATATTGTAAATTGTTATAATCATTCCAAAATACAATCTGAATTTTTTTTATTTATAATTCGTATGGCAATTTATTTATGAATTAAAAATATCCCAACTTTTAGAACTATACTTCTAAGTTTAAAAATTTTTGTATTACTGAATTGCTATATTATTTAATTTCCAAATTAATTTTGTGAGTTCATTGTTTCTTAATCTGTTTTATATAAAATAATAATTTTTAATACGAGTGTTTTCTTTTCAGTGAAATCTTTGTTAACGAAAATTATCATTGACTTTATAAAGACAATTTAATTCAAAATTCAACTTCAAAGTTTGTTATTCTGTAATTATGTAAAATTGCTAGATGAAAGAGCAAAGTTTAGTATAAAGTGTTACGATAGTAGTGGGGATAATGTATTGGATGACAAAGCGAATCAGTACGGTCGAAGTCAGATGGTGTCAAAGAGTACTATTTTAAGTAAAGTATATCCTATACAGTACGTGCAACTATTGGCAATCCGTACCAGTTGATTCATACAATATAGTACATAACAGTAAGAACATCAACTACACACGAAAGAAATAATACAAGCAGTTAAAAAACTAACCTCCATTGTGCGAAAGAAGTTACTCTATTTGCCATGCGGCAATATAATCCTTCTATCACATATAGATAACGCAACGATACCGTCTCCACTAGTTACATGATGGCTATCGGAAAACGAAGAGGTATACACACGGCATCCGGTAACTCCACAATGTACGGCTCTTCAGCAAATAATTTAAGGTCGAGTCGTCTAAATTTCCGTCCAAATTCTACTCAGGAAGACAGGGGCGGAACTCGACCAACTGCTGCACCAAGCTCCATAGGTCTCATACTCGTTACGATGTTGATACATGTTTGTAAAAAATCTTTGTTATTCGATACAAGGCTCAAAGTTGCTATATACTGCGGTGCGATTTTCGTAGTATCACTAATAGCGGACTTCATCACTATACCAAGAACATATTTCTCACGTTCTGATAACGTGTTAAACCAGTACTTTGTCAAGTGGGGATGGGGATGGTTGTTGACTGTGACCATTCCATGGGTTGCTTTAACTGCACACACACTTGGTTGTGGTCGCAGATCAATTTTACTTAAACATCTTGCCAGATTGGGTGTAGCTACAATTGCATGGATGTTATGGATTAAAGTGTTTAATTATATTGAAACAAATTATGGTCGATGCCTTAACACAAAAGACATACAATTTCAAACAAAAGCAAAATGCCTTCAGTCTGGTAGATTTTGGAGTGGTTTAGATATATCTGGACATACGTTCATTCTCATATATTCTAGTTTAATTTTGGCGGAAGAAGGTTCATCTCTGGTTGGTTGGGAAGGTATAAAAGATTTAATAATGCTTGAAGAACATTCACGAACAACTCCTAATGAACCCAGCACTGGACCCCTAAGAAATCTTTCAAACATTGATTTAGAATTTTTAAAAAAAGCACACAAAGCACTTACACCTTATTTGAGAGGTCTTTTTGTTGTGATGACCCTACAACAGTTACTTTGGGACATCATGTTAGTATCTACAATGCTTTATTATCATATTATGATAGAAAAATTTCTAGGAGGTATAGCTGCTGTTATAACATGGTTTGTTACATATCAGTGGTGGTACAAGTTGCTTAAAAGTTTACTGCCTCCTCCTGGTGATGGTTTGTTTAAATACGCTGATATTAGAAATCATGACAGTAGTTCAATTAGGTCAAGACGAAGTACATTAAATGGTACTAATAGGTTTATGGGTCTTCCAATTCGAACAACTCAAGATAATATTGATATAGGTGGTATCAATAGGCAGTTAGATACAGAGTTATCCTCTTCTAGAATATAACATTGTTAAATATATGTTAATTTTTATTTGGTTGAAATTTTTGTTATTTATTTAAACAAAAAGAATATTTAGTTGTATAATACAGTCTATTTATAAATAAGTTTAGATACTTTTTAATATTACCGACTTAATCACAATAAGAGTTGCAGAAAAAAAGTTTTCCAAAATTAATATTTTCTATATTCAAAACATCAAAAATCTGATACACTTTGTTAACATAAAGGAATCATAAAATAACACTTATTATATATTAGTCTGAAGTGTGAATTTTCAAAGTGGATTGGTTGATTGTTATAGAAACCTCAGAAGATCAACATATATTGTCAATATTTTCTTTAACAATTTTATATTTAGAATAATAAAAAGAGGTTTGTATAGTCATTTTCAGCACACTTTACCCTCCAAACTAATACAAAATAACTGCTATTTTATGTTATCAAATTATACTAAATTTGTGGTTTCTGTGTTTATGCTCATTTTAAATAGACTGTATATCAAATGTATCAATATATTTTATGTAAAATGTTTAGGGTTATTTATTCTATGTTTTTATTAGTTTTATTTATCAATTGAAGTGTTAAATGCAAAGACTACAGTATCAAAAATGAGTTAAAAAGAAGTAATATTTAAACATTACAAAGTTAGATATTTGTACATCATGAAGTTGTAGAACTACATGATAATGTTCAAAAATTTGATATTTCTCTGTAATTATACTTTTTAATGTAAAAAAATTACGGGGTAAAAATATCAAATTTCTGTAGTTTTACTGCGGTTTCATTACATATAAATAATATTTAAGTTTATAATGTTTAGATATCCTTTTCTCAAAACTGACTGATGACACTGAAACTCTTGTATCCAACAATACAATTTATGCCGTTTTTTACAAGCCACATAGTCTAGAATATTTCAATTTATCAAAAGGTAATGACTCATTAAGTACCTCAAATTAGTACTTAGATGAATTACATATTTATTTGCATACCTTAGACGAAAATATTTTCTTTAAAAAGAAGAACTTACTAAGTATCGCTATCTGTTAAATGTGTACATAATGTAATTAAATGAAATGTGTGTTTTTGTATCTCTTTATGGATTGTTAAGTCGATAACCATTTAATATAATCATAATTATGGATATATCTTTTGTGACATTGTTTCATAATTTATATTTAATAAACCTTATTGTTAACTAATTGTCCAATGTATAAAATGATATATGCTGTTCAAAGTACAAAATACATTATGTTTTTTTTCTTTCATAAATTTTCAAACTACTCTACAAGAAGTCATATGCAAGAACACCTTTAAGAAAAAACAACTTCCATGTCGCTACGTATGTCCAATAAATTTATTTATTTAAATATAGAAATAATTGTGCACAAAATTGTATAGGAATTATTTGTTTCATGTTCTAAACTGAAATATTTGTAATTTTATAACATTTTGTGATTGTATACTAAACACAAAAACAGTGATACAAGATTACGCACACTTTGTAATATATATCTTGTTCTTCTCTCAGATAAAATTCAAATTTTTTAATCAATGAATTACTTGTACTAACGATTATCCTAATCAATGTTTAAATGTAATTTTTTTACGTTATATGAAGAAATTAATACTAATATTAAGAATACGAACTTAAATTGTTATAAAATAAAAAAAAGAAAAGATTATGGAATATTTATACAGGCGTAATATATTATTGTCGCTTAAGATCACTAAATTTGTATTTACTTAAAAACATTAAGTTTACGATAATAGAAATTTTGTGTCAACAAAATCCCTTTTATCTGTATATAAATAAATTACACGCTTGTTTTTGTTAACGTGCATTTGGCATTTTCTTAAAACATCGTCTTGTAATTTATACCTATTTCTACAAATCATGATCATTTGTTTCTTAAAAAAATTCAGTGCTCGAAGCTCGTATATGAACGCATGTGCATGTTTTTATATACGTAAAACACACATATTTTGTTTAATCTTCAATAATGAAACTGTACAGTATGACGTTATGTATGTTTATATTATATTAACACGTTGAACGTCGGACAAATTTTGTACGTCTTGCTTAGGACATGAAAATAAAACCTACTGCTTTCATATTATTAATGTAATATTAGTGTTATTCAAAGTTACTTCTGTTTTATTTAGCAAAACTTTTTATTAGTCGATAAAATTAATTTTGATATCACTAGTCATTAGTAACAACTCGTTACCGATCCCCATAGTATCAGTGATAAGTCCGCAACCTTTATGATATTCAACGCATCAAGAGAATTAGAAAAATGAAGTGTTGACATCGTGTTTAGAAAAGTTCGTGAAATTAGAAATGCTTTGTTTTTGATATGAATTATTTTTTTTTCATATCACAAGCTACTTCATAGCAGCTAATTACATAGTATATCTAGGAAATATTGTATACACATTTACTTTTTAAAATGTTAAATGTGCAATGTATCATTACACTTTTGATCTTTTACGTGCGATTGCGTCTTCCACTGCTTTAAGTTGTTTCAGTAATTCTTCACGCCGTGAACTTGCTTTCTTTGCTGCTTTAGCCGCAGCTGCAGCAACGCTTGCTTTACTATCAATTGATGGAGGCGACTCTAATGCTCTTTTTTTCCCAGCCATTAAAGTAGAGCGTTCGACCTTTTTTATAGAGGTAGCATTACTTGCTGGTTTCAGCGTAAGCTTAATTTGCTGTTTAGTACCGCTGAGTTTCAACGCGTCAATACCCTTTGAATCTTTTCGTGTTAATGGCGGAGTTGAACCTTTTCGTCGGCGAGTTTCACTGGAAGAAGAAGAGTAACTCGACTCGCTAGAGTCGCTACTGCTACCACTGCTCTCTGATCCTGAACTACTATGTGAAGACCTAAAAATTTACAGTTTTTACAGTTTTTATAAATGTTTCTAACATGCAGGTTTCATAAATAAAATTTATATTCTTTTACCTAGATCTTGAACGGCTTTTGATAACTTTAGCAACTGCAGCTGCTGCTATTGCCGCCTTATCCCTTGCCTTTTCGTGGTGCCGTTGATGAGAGGAAAGTGGACTAGGTGCAGGCGGATTGAGACCAGCACGCCGATGAAGCGTACCAGTTGTAGGAGAAATGGAGCCTTTAGGTGGACGGGGTGAAGGGGCAGGTGGATTCATTAACATAGCACCACGCTGGGGTGCAGCAGCTGCAACCGTAGGAGGATTTGCAGGCGGCGATGTAGCGACTGCTTTCCCTTTACCAGTACCACGAGTTCTAGAGGGAGGGGATGGTGAACGGGACCTGGATAGGGAGTCGTAAGAACTGTAGCTAGAGCGGCTCGAGCTACGGCTAGAACTAAAAACAGCATACAGTACACTTGTACATTTTCATACATAATAAATGTTAAAAAAAAAAAAAAGAAAATAATAGAGACTATAATATATAGTGTAAACCGTAATACGGGGCAATATAATATAGAGTAGTATGATAATAAAATTAGACTCTATGCAGATATACAGCTACTGTTAACTAAATACGTTCATTGTAGATTTCAGTGACCGATGAACTTTCTACTTCATGGAAATTTTTATGAACGCGTTAAAATAGTAATATGATTTATATTATTATCAAGGGTTACCTGGTTGATGAATACGAAGAACCTGAAGAATAGGATTGTCTTCGTGATCGTCGGGATGATGTATTTCGTCGTACGGTACTTGGAGACTTCCGTCGCATCCAAGGATCTGCCCACTCATCTCCTCTACTTCTTTCTTCTGGCGGTGGTTCTTCTTCTCTCCAAGGTTTCGTCGGTGGAATGCGTTCCACTATAACTTCTCTTGATGGACGCTTATGTTTTTTCTCATATTTCTCGTAATATTCTCGTTCTCTGTCACGTTCACGTTCCCTTTCCCTTTCCCGTTCTCTTGTGTGCGGTGGTGGAGAAACAGAATGTGGTGTTCCACGAGGTATAGCATGGTAATCAATACGTTCTCGATACTCGGTAGCAACTCGTGTATCTGCTTTGTAGTGTACTCTCCTTAAATAAAATAATTTTTAATATATTTGTTCGAGATTATAAAAAACCGAAAAACATTACAAATGTTGTAATGTAATGTTGTAGTATAAATTTTACCTATAATACTCTGGTGGTGCTGCTGATGGGGCATAATAAGGATCAGGTTCATCGACATATCTATCTGGTGTGATTCTTGGCGGTGGCATTCTTCGAGGTGCTTCTCTGGGTGGCCATCTTTCAACAGGTGGTTCAGGACTAGCTGCTCTAACATAATATCCTGCTTCTCTATCTAATTCATCTTGTCCTAAACTTAAATTCATTTTTTTCTCTTCAAAGTCCATATCTGATTCTTTACGTTTATTTGCTTTACGCATCATCTGTGAAACAAGTACAATATGAAACAGTGTGTAATATATTTTTATATCAAAATAAAATAATTTGTGAACATATGTACCTCCTTAGCATGTCGCAATCCGCGCTCCCATGCAGATTCTGTAGGAAGATCTTCTATTTTTGGTGTATGCGGCGGAGCTCCATAACCAGGTAATGGTCGTACCATATTTGGTCTATCAATATGTGGTCTGAATTCGTGTGGGGTTGCTGCATGCGATGGATATGCCATTGGTCTGACCATATCAAACATGGTATAATTACCCTTGTCAGTTACACCTGGATGTAAAAATCTACAACTAACTCCCCATGTACACTGTCCTCGATTATAAAAGCGGCATACAGGTCTAGGTTCTGTTTCTTCTGGACGAGCATCATCACCGTCGCTGAGTTCACCTTCTTCTAATTCAGATTCTACTTTCTCTCCATCTTCTTCTCCTTCTTCTTTGTCATTTCCTTCACCTCCATCTTTTGATTTTATTTTATCTCTATCTTTATCTTTATCTCTTCCATCTTTTTCATCTTTATCTTTAGTTTCTTTAATAATAGGTCCTTCTGTTTCTCCTAAAAATTACATATTAATTATACTTCATAATTTTACATAAATTTATTTAAAAATTTTAATATGTAAAATATTTACCTTCATCGCGTTCATCTTTCCACTGACCATCAGCTTCAAAATCTAATTGTTCACTTTCTTCAGTTAATCCAACAGGTGCATTTTTATCTTCCTTCTCCATTTTATCATTAATTAGTGCGCGTTTTTCTTCATTCTGTTGATTTTCCTTAAGCATCGAATCGTGTTCATTAGTGCCATCAACTCCGTCCATACTTTCCAAATCGGAAACATCCGACAAGTCCTCTCCATGCGTAATTGGCATAGGTTTTAATTTGGCTATAGATTCTGGTTCATCTTCAATGTCTCCATCCGAAATTTGTTCTCCATCTAACTCATTGAAAGAACCTCCTTTGGTTGGTGGAGAATGGGGTGGTGAATGTTTATCTGATTCCTGATCATCCATAGGAGATGCTGGACCTGACTTTGGAGAACTTCTTCCAGATATTAATGACTTGGCTGAACTATGTCCAGATCTTGGGGATTTTGGTGAACTTTGCCTTGATTCACTGTTTTTATAAGAATATGATTTGGGAGAATTATCTCCAGATTGTTGTGCATCTACTTCTAAATCAAACTGCTTCTGTTCTGTATCTTCAAGATGTACAGATTTGGAATCATTTGGAGTAGATGGGTATGATCTTTCATCTTGTATAGGAGAGCGAGATAAACTACGATCACTTCTAGGTGAATCCAAAGAATTGTTTTCTGAGTGATATGATTTTGGTGACATAGGTGGTGATTTTGATAAACTCCGAGTTGATCTTGGAGAACCCACTTCACTGGGAGATGCTAGTCCAGACCTTTGAGATTTTGGGGATATTGGTATATATCTTGGAGACTTTGAATCCCTTTCGGATATAATAGATGTAGGTGATTTTCCTCTTGAAGAAATAGAACTTCCCCTAGATTTATGCCCCGACACAGATGAATGGTGTGAGAAGTTTGGTGATGCCACATTGTCAGCAGATGTAACTCGATTTCTCCTTCCATCATAACCCTCCGAAGAGGAACTTTCTGAACCAGAGTCTGACATGGTGAATTATTCTAGCCTGTAAACAAGTAATTTTTGTTACAACATGTACAACTATAATTTGACAAAAAATGGGACCACCACTCAAACAAATCGTTAATTCCTCTTACTTGAGAAGTGAATTTTTTAGCCGTGCCGACCGAATGTAGCACTGAAAAATCTGCATCAGTAGCATCGCAGGGCTTACCTGTATCAATAAGAGCCTGTGCAGTACTTGCTCTTGAAGGCACAATGCAAGCAATCCATACCGTGTCGAACATACTTTTTATATCACGTTGATAACTTTTTTACTAATAACTTTTGTACTTTATAGTTAAACTGAACTTTTTTTCACATTTACAATACATACTGTTATTTTTCAGGATTTCTTGCCCGGAACTTTTTAGTTTACATTTTAAACTTTCAACTCGAACACAACACAAACTAAGAAATACCGGTAAACCGCAAACTGTTTTGTACTGCACTAGAAACTATAACGAACGGACTTTTAACCTGTAAGAATGTCTTTTGGGCATATGGAGAAAGAAAGAACATAGGAAAAAGAGGGATGTATAGGGAAAAAAAAACTAAATCTTTTTTATCATTGTGTATGAATAAAATTTCAAGATCAAAATCAATGAACACAGTATTATCATAAACAAATCATATAAAAAACAAATGTATAAATAATAAGTGAATGATTAATAATGAGGAATTAAATATTTACTCATTTAATGATAGTAACAGACACTGAAAGCACAACATACAAAATAATTATTAGATTTTAAGAATAGATCTGTTTTATGTTTTATGTTCAAAAATTTTACGATAAAAAAATGATTTTTACAACTTGGTATTAAGCAAAGATACAACACAAATTAATGCAATTATTGGAAGTAATGTTACATGCTCAATCTAATTGTTGATGTACATTACTTGCAAAATGCATATAATATTGCATAAATATAATAATTAATTTATACTTGTAAAAGTATATTTATTTTTAAAAGAATATTTAAAATATATTTAATTAAATATTTAATTGAATATATTATATGAAATAGAAAAAATTAAAAAATATCTATCATAGCATCTTACATCATCAAATTACATTGCTACATAGAAATATAAAAAAAAATCTATTATAACTTAACATTTTCACTATTAAAACATATAATATTATACAAATGTGGTATATCTGAAATAATTTTTAAATCGAAATTGATTAAGTTTTTCTACACTGTTTTGCAAAATACAAATAATCAAAATTCGCGATAAAATTTCATAAATATCGCATTTAAATAATATCACACATAAAGACAAATACAGGTTTGAACGTGAACATTACAAAATCTAAAATAATATAAAAAATAAAGAATAACATGTTTCCAAACAAACCAAATTTTTAGTCGTCTTTAAAAAGTGGTTGTAATTCTATGTTAATCCCCATAAGTTATTATACTATGACCACTGAAATATTTTCATGGATATATTGAGGTTAAGGGTGTAAATGATTTTAAATCTTACTGTAAATTAATCTGTGAAATTCTCAACGAAAGATGTTACGAAATTTCATGTATTGTTCATCAAAAATATATGTATCTTCATAATTTTGTCTAGAACGTGTCGTGAGATTCTTACCTTGGTCGCGCGTATGCCGTAGGCCTTTGGAGATTTTAAGACTCCGAGGCTTAAGGCGGCCGGCGTCACCCAGTTATTATCGTTTAGACTTTTCGCTTCCGTGCCAGTTTTATCGTTTTTAACACTAACTCTATCCCAAAATCAAACGTTAATAACTTCCAATTTACTACTGCAGAATTAGTAGTAAAGTGGACAATGAACAAACGAAAAAGTTATGGAGAATGGGAACCGAAAATCCTTTGCTCTAAACCATTGATTATTTTTAACATAGATAGCAAGTTTCCAACCTATGCATATCTTTTGTGTTCATATATAGGATAGCACAAGTCCGATTGGGCAATACAGAGAAAAGCTTGTGAAGCGCCATCTTCGGGTAATAATTTGTGCTTTCAGAGCTACATAGTTGGTGAGCTTGAAGTTTTCGGTGTAAATCTGCCATGCTATCAGACCGATGAGCTAGTCTTTACAGCATTAAAGTGGAGGAAGGATCTCTGCGTTCCATTTATTCAACGTAAGTCCTATTTTTTATTATTACTGTTAGTCATAACAATTGTACTATAAATAGTATATATATAATTGTATTATAAATAGTTATTCAATTTATTATTTTTATAATTAACATTTTCTGTTTACCAATGTTCTAACTTTCACGTAAAAATATCAAATCGTGCAACAACAATAAATACGTTATTATAAATGCTTTTATTTTTCAGTTCCAAAATTGAATATACACACAATCTGCCTCAATCTTCGACAAAAAATTAAGCCAATGAAGAGTTACATAAATTAAAAATTGTACAAAATATATTTGCAAATTGTATGTATTTATGAAGTTACAATAAATAAACAAAAGAAATCATGTACTTATTTACAATCCTTTCCACTACATTCTTAAACATAACAGACAATCAACAGGTTAGGTCAGGCTTACGGTTAGGTTATATACGGTTAGGTCAGGGTCCAAGGTTAGGTCGGATTACGTTAGGTTATATTATGATAAGTCAAGGCCTAAGGTTTGGTCGGAATAGGTTAGGTCGGGCTTACAGTTAGGTTATATTATGTTAGGTCAAGGCCTAAGGTTAGTTCGGATTATATAAGGCCAGGCCTACGGTTAGGTCAGGCCTACGGTAGGTTATATTAGATTAGGTCAAGCATATGGTTAGGTTATATTAGGGTAGGTCAGGCCTACGGTTAGGCTATATTCGGTTAGGTCAGGATCTAAGGTTAGTTCGGATCATGTTAGGTCAGTGACTAAGGTTAGGTTGTATCAGATTAGGTCTGGGAAACTAACATGTATCATTCCCCATGTTACTATCACTATTATCGTGGAACTGTAATTATTATCCTTACTACTCTTATTATTATCAATTTTATTACGCATATTACAACTTTTATTATCATTATCCTTATTATTCTTATTATTATCGATATTATTACGCATATTACGACTACTATCATCGCTGAAACAT